GAAAGAAATATAAGAAAAACCACCCTTGATGAAATCTGTACGGTACAATAGACAATCCCGATTTATGCTTTTTCACGGTACTCCCAAGTGGGTTAGTTGCCACACTACTCTCACTCAGGATACAAGCTACTTTTCAAGCCAATACTGCCGTCAGAATAGGTCTTATATTCATTTTTTACTATCATTTTCCACAGCCAAAGCGTTTTCCCCCCGAATTTGGCCGGTAGTGTGCCATGAAGCACACAGAAGCCTCAGTGCCATGTTTACGTTTGCTGTCACCTGCTGTAAACATAATTTAAGGTCGCATCTCGGCAAAAATGCCATTTTTCTGTCGACATCGAGAAATTGCATGTAAATCGTAACCCTTCGTTCTGAAACACAAAATTCTAAGAGTTGAATCAACTGGCTTTTCAACAAGCACTCCTGTTATCCAAGCGGTAAAACTGTTCAGTAGAAGTCACAGATAAATTGCCAGAAGCCACTGTTCTTCCGAAAAATCAATTGAACAAACTGGTTGGGCTGTTCTAAAGTTGCAAAATTCCGGTAGAAATATCAAGAGGACTAGGTATCGGGCAGAGGTTTGCTCGTTTACATATAAATGCGTAGGCCTGCTGAGAATTTATCGAATTTACCTGTTCGCCAAACATTCTTCCGAAAATAAACTCTGTTAACTATTGAAATGACGGACACCTTGAAGTTGTAAACACGAAAAAGACGCAATAGTAAAACGGAAGGCGTATTCGGGAAATAAGTATGGCCAGATGTGGTTATGCAGCCCCACCTGAAGGAAGCATACCCCAGCCACCAGAAATACGGAACCGGTGGTAATAGGGGTTTTTACATGTGGGGCGGGGAACGCACAGGCGACGAGTTCAAGTAGTTGTATGCAAAATAAGAGTTATTGGGAATGCGCGGTTGTAAGCTGTGATTGAGAAATAGTTGCCCTAACCCCTAACTCTAGCCCCTACCCCAAAAGTATTGTGTCCATCAGGTGGGACTTCATAACCGCATCCTACCAAAAGTAAAGTATTTCGATCTTAGTATCCAAATAAGTAAAGCCCGCGGTTTTCGGAAAGGCTGGTAATGACTTCGCATTTGTTTCCTCTGGCGGTATAACAAGAACAGTACATAAGTGAAAAAAGGAAATATGAATGAGTTTTGCCTGTACATGAAAAATGTCGTCTGTTGTACGCACACAGTTCTTCTTGAGCAGAGTTATTTTTTCTAGTATTAGGAGCCCGACTGCTACGATGGGAAAATTTTGGCTTAACATCTGTATACACTGAATCAACCTAAATTACAATGAATTCTTCCGTAAATTTGACTTATCTGTCGCGTCTGCGAGCAAGTTGTAAGCACTTCTGTTTCTAGAGGCTTTGAGCAGTACCAAAGCACCAAGTTTCATCAACAGCACTTCAGTTTTTCGTGCGAAATGAAAGACGTCCGGCGGTCCCCTGCCAAACTGCTGGAATCGCCACATAAGTGAAGGAGTGTTATAGATAATGCTGTAGCATCCTAGACAGATATAATAATATATTTTTAGAGGTATTGTTTACGTGTCATTCTGAGTCTATGTTGAAAGCACGGGAAGTAGATCATACCTGCAATGCTTGGTCCACAGAATAAAGACAATCGCAAAGTCAGACACTGGACAAAGCGTTGTGTTGCGCAGTGCATTCTGAAAATTAAAAACCAAAGGTTTATTTAAGTGTTTCGGAGGACTTCCTGAACACGGGTTTTGTGTGAAAAAAGCTTTACCAAGAAATAACGGCGAGGATATGGGGTATTAACTTGTTGGTGGTGGGATTCAGACATTTTAAATAATTGTCAGAAATAAAAAGTGTGACTATATGATTGTCATGCCGGAATAAAATATTGATCATTCAAATGAAGCATTACGGTCGTCGAGGGGTAATATTTAGGGAAGACAGATGCAGAGGCCATGTCGAAACAATCATATCTTATTCAAGGATTTCACATCGCGGAAGATGTCAGGGACTAAATTCTCATTTAACTCCTATTGTACGTACAAATAACTACAAAAAACAGGTATCAAAGAACCTTAGGTTCGATAGAACAAATCACAAAGAATCGATTATAACAAAATGTCAGGTCATTTCTCACATTTTTGAACGAATTGTTCGTTGACAGTGGCGTCCCGCACGATGTACTCATGAGACATACCACAAAGGGACTCTTGATAATGAGAGAGCTGATGATTAGGAGGTTGACTTTAAGCAATATACAAAATGTAAAATAAGGCCATATTCCAAGCCGTCTCTTAGTGGACTGTGTGCATAATTTGTAGGAAAGTGCGAATACATTATTAGCTATGTATATTTTCGGGAAATATTATCTTAACAGAAACAAAATAAATTCAAAATAATTCAGCACCATCCAAGTGTCACGATACTATTCCCGTTATCTTTCGTTTGTCCAAAGCATTATGCGATGTATTGACATATGCTTTAAGGTTTTCAAAAAGCAATATAATTCTGAGGTTTCCATCAAAGAAATGGATTCTTTGTGCCGCTCACTCATGGATCGATCCTGGATCTGCTACGTTTGCCTTAGTCGGAAGGAAATCTTAATGACCCATAAACATGAAATGGTCGACTACTGAGAATCTCGTTGGGCGAAGATGAGAGTAACAATGAAAAATTGCCGCATTTCTCAGTGTGCTGATGATAGCCCCGATGATTTATGAGAGCCAAGCGAAAAGGAACCGGTGATCCGTAAGACTGCATCCAGACTTAACCCGCCCGGAATTGTTACGGTTGGCTTAGGCAGATAATGAACAGATACTTTGTAAAAATGACGACAAACACTAAGGCGACAGTGTCACAGAAAGTAATTTCGTAAAATGAAGAACATCACAAGTCGGCACATGCTTGAGTTTAGCTTTTAGACCTCCATACAGAGTACCTATCTGCGTGTATCTAATGTTCTGCGTTTTTCCATATACCTCAACAACTTATACTTTGACAACAGCGGCATTGATGCAGAACGGAGAAACCTTCAGCGCTATGGGTTCTCGGGCTAGAAGTGGGACTTTTTACGCATTCTGGAAAACCGCAGTACCAGATAAGCCAGACTTGTTATTAATAAGTAAAGCAAACGCAGAAGCATGGTTGGCATCTAACCTCTGGTTTCACGCAAACATCAGAAAGTCAGGCTGCGTCCAACATCACGCTCGGCCGGTACTCACGTGCAAAAGTGCAAAGAGGATCTCTGCTCCCTGATTGGCAGGGTGGACATATTACTTTTGCCTAAACAGATCAGCTGACGTAGTTGTCCTCCTCAATCCTGGCAGAGACGTCGGCAGCAGCACAAAAAAACATTGACAAAAGAACCCAGTAATGATTTGTAGAGTTTTCAAAAATGCCAGTCCACTGGTCCTTAAATCAGAATTTGTATGTTACATAAATTCACAAGAGGAGAAATTCTAGTAAGTAGGGCCACCTAAAGTCTGTTCATAACCCATAGCTTAAGCTGGCTCACAAGCCTCTATGGCAATTTGTAGGACGCTCAGCCTGTCAGACTTCATGCGCAATTGTCTGACAATATCTCACACATCCTCTAGTGACGGCTATGTGGTCGAGTTCGGCGTAAAAAATCAGGTATGCGGAACTGTGTAAAGCTTCTTGCAAAAACTCTTCTCACACCCGGATTGGAAGTTCTTGTGCCCTACCCACCAACATCCTCTGCGGACCAATCTAAATCATCCTTTGGGTTTTAGGGGTGTCCGGTTAGGGGCTAAACCATATGGGTGTGATAGGTCGCAGTATTTGTGCTGCTCAGATACTGGCCGCTTCACACGACCCTTAACTGGCACCCACTTCGCATCTGCGGATCCGCGAGGCTAGACTCTGCTAACGTCCACATTCTGGTAACCGCATTGACCGGCAGACTAAACCGGATGAGAGTATCCGGTACTGAGAGTATCCCGTAACCCGACAATTCTGCTTCCATGTTTCTCCCATTCTTTCCTCCCTCCCTCGAAACAAGACCGTGATCCCTAGTGCAGTTCGGTAGCCATCTGGGATGTCTTAGCAGCCCTATTTAGGGACACTAGTGTTTAATTCCTCACGGAGGAAGGAACCAGAAAAGGTGCCCTAAATAAGTACTGGGATTACATCCTCTCCACGCAGACCGTGGCTCGCAGATAGAAAACTCGCGGCCGAAACAACACAACAACCAACAACCTCTGTCCCCATCCCCTCTGCCCCACACCATAGGCTGCTAGAATGGTTATTTTCACTTCGGTAACCTGGAATGTCCATTCTCTTTTAGACAGTCTGCGAAGCAACTGACCGGAGCGGAGGACGGCACTGGTCGCTCGGGAAGTGGAGCAAAACAAGGCTGCTCTCGACGAGGTCCGCCGAACACGGTCATCTGGAGTAGGTCGGTGCTGGCGTTCCCCTCTAGGCCGGTCGCCGAAGGCAGAACGGCGCAGGAGTCGCATTTGTTATCCAGAATGACGTCGTTGAACGACTGTTTGAACGTTCTGTTTGCTGCAGGGCATCAACCATCGCCGTACGATCCCTACCCCTGACTGTTCAAGAAGCCATATACGTCATCGTCATCAGTGCCTATAATCTCCGACGAAAGGATCAACTCCGACAGATGAATAAAAAATTACGCGAAGACTTGAACGCTCTTCTGGCGACTGCCAAATGCGGACAAGTTGACTGCCCTTGTTGACTTCAAGGCCCCATCGGGACAGATCATGCTGTCCGGGAGGGAGTTCTGGAATCCCACGGATCCGACGACTGCCAAGACAATGGCCGCTCCCATCTGCGAACCTACGACGAATACCACCTCCTTCTTACAAACATATTCTTCCGCTTTCCGACGCGCGAAAAGCGACCTGGACGCACCCCCTATCGCGGCGCTTGCACTTGCTGGAGTACGTTCTCCTCCGAAGGCCATTCCAGGGGACTTGCTGGTGACAGAGACGAGGAGTGACGCGGAAGGCCGGACGAATCACCGCCCCGTCTCCGACTGCAATCTTGCAGGACACCACGAGGCGAGCTAAACGCTGTTCTTACGAACTTGTCTGCTTAACGCTTAGATTTTAGCAACCAACTTGCCCATTACTTGGAACAGCCGCAGGCTCCTGACGACGACGCCACCAATGAAACACAGTGGTGTCAACTGCAGAGCACCTTCTGCTCCAACGCCCAGGATGGTCTCGGCCGCACTCGTCGCCAACACCAGGACTGCTTTGACGACAGCGAGGCGAAATCAGCGGCCGATTCGCCGAGAAGAACTTGCATCGACCGCCTGAAAGAGGCAAACAGATCGTCGCTGTCCACCACCCCTACCATCACTGTTACAACCCCGCGGCGATGACTACCACTCCTCGCACTCCCACCACCAGTGAGAACTCGCCCATTGCCCTATCAGCCGCCACCCTCACCACCACCGGTCCCACCATCAGCAATTCAGATCCGGTCGCGCCTTCGCATCGCGCATCGGCCTAGTCGGTCGCCTGCAAATCTACCGCCTTGAAACCGTTGAACAAATGTCAGGGGACTGAAGCATATCCGTCGCACCTGCCCCAAATGCGTACACTGCCCAAGCACATTCAGTCACCGCATGGACCTGCTTGTCTACACGAGTCTCCGTGAAAATCTGTGGTAAACCACTGCAGACTAAACCACATTTGTGCGCAATGCCCCGCCAACACATGCATCGAAAATAAACATGCCTAATAGCATAAACTACAGGCACGAACTAGGAAATGTATTCTTTGGCTCCTATGACACTTCAACACATATAAGGGTTGAGCGGCCCACAGACATTGCGTGACAGCCGGGTGTGCTATGCGGGGACCAGGACATGTGTGGCACGCATAAACGGGCCGCTTTAGTTCTCTTCGTCGCTGCGCCCAATCTCGGCATCAGATGGTTGACCGGGAGAGGGAAGAGGGAGCAAGGTAAACTCTGGAAACTGCGGCCCCACAGCACTGAGCGTGTATACCTCGTCACAAACAACATGGTGCGCATCTAAACCATCACGGTGCGTCCAAAGCAAGGACTAGGAAGGTTGCCGACTGATGAGATAACTCGGTTCACCCCGGTCCTTAACGTCCACTGAACTGTCGGTGTTGTAACCCCTGGAGTCAGTTATTGTAGCCACCAGTGGCCACCGTTTGACAGTTCACAGCTCCTCAGTGCAACGCTTTCCAGTGTTATTTGAACCAAACACAATAGAAAAGCCAAGGTTTAGGCAATTACAACGAAAATTTCAGAAATCGTTGCGAAAGAGCAGGTAGTGGAAAACGCCGAGCGGCATTCGAGAACGATTCAAAACAAGAATTGTTGGATGGGACTTTAGATAGGATGACTTTCTTACTTCTGGCGTTCGGAGTTAGTTAATGATATAATGGTGCTTCCCTGTTACAGAATTTACACCAGTCCCACTGGAAGTTGGCAAACACACAATGACGTGTTAAATGATTCTCGCTTTACACCTTAATTCAAGAATCCTGCAGATATCTGTGAAAAGCAACATACGTCTACAGCTATGCTGACGTTTAAACAAAAGGGTAGGAATCATTTACTGATGTTCATATATTAAACTGAGTTAGGCAGTTGTTCTTACTAAAGCATCGAGATTCAAGAAAAATTATGCCAATTGAATGGCCTTAGGCTTAAGGAAGTTAGTTTATTTTACTTTCCTAGAATTGGAGTAAATACCTGAGAATTTGGTACTCGTACGCCCACCCCCAGATGCAAACAGTAGACAAGAAGGGAAAAACTCATTAAGAGGAAGCAAGTTGGCATTTCCTCTGTGTTTGTTCTCATCGGTACAGGGACTTCGAAATTTGGAATCGCTATACGCTGGGCCAAGAAGGTGGGCAGTGACATTTCTTTGGGTGAGTGAAAATAAGTCGACTGACTGGTCTATAAATTGTTTTAAGAGAATATGACAGGATGTCAAGTTAGTGAATTAGAAAGAAAGTCTGCATAGAAGCTTGTCCAGGATTATGAGCACATACACTGACCATCTGAATAAATGGGAGTAACTGCTGCCTCGAAAGACGTTAGAAGCCCTATGGGATAAAGTCCTGCAGAGTAGACACTA